CTTCATCCTCCGGCGCCGGCGGCGGTTGTCCTCTCTCAGAACCACGGGCTGCTCATTGCTCTCCAGCTCCATGCCCTGCGCGACCTGGGAGCGGAGAAACAGAGGGCTTTGTCACGGGGGGCAGGCACTGGCCGGTGGCGTTTTGCTGCGAGATGGCAGAAGAAGGGGTAGAAGAATGACAGTGACGTGCTCACGAGGATGCAGGAGCTTTGGAGTCGGGACTCGTGCATCCTGATCCCGCCACTTAGGATCTGGTGACTTGAGCTGGTTAACCTCGGAGCCTGTTTCCCATCTGTCAAATGGAGTCGTTAATACAGCCGAGGGTGGAGGTGAGAATTAAATAAGGCAAGAAATACATATACTTGCTCAGTGTGGATGATGGGTTTATGGGGGTTCAGTAGTCATTCTCTCTACTATCATTATGTTTGAAAATTTAATTTGATAAAGGAGATATGTAAGGCGCTCATCCAGCATGGTGTCTGACATATTGTCATGACTCAAAGTGGTACTTGTTTTTAAGCATACTGAAAGGCATGGGCGAGTAAAACAGTCCCGTGAAAGGATCAGCTCCTAGTCTGCAAGATGCACTGTGAAATGCTAACACGCCCCTCTTTGAAAACAGGCCTCTGACTTATTTCCTCTTTGTTCGGTCTCACACTTCTTGGGACCCAGACACCTTACCCAGCCTCACTGCATATTCTCTGTGTTCAAACTGTCTGGTTCAGGAATCTACTCCCTGGTCAACTTCCTGTCTTTCTTTTCGTGTTTTTTTTTTCTTACTAGTTAGGAAAGGTAATATCAGAATCAGTAGTTTCAACCAAGGACGTTTGCAGTCATTTCAACATTTTGAATCATGAAATTCTGGTTGTCATTGCTGTATTAGGGCAGTGTCTTGGGGGAGTCGCCCAAGGCAGCACTCCCTTAATAGGAACAGTCAGGTAGTTTTAATTTTGTTCCAGTTCATTCCATCTTCCTCTGTGTTAGACAGTGGAGAAGCCATAGGATGGAAGGAAGGATTTCTGGGCTCCAGTAACCTGCTATTTGGATCCCAATTCATTATTTAACTTCCTTTTTGCTCTAATATTTTCATCTCTATAACAAGAATTCAGAAGTTTCTTCTCATCAGCTTATCCACTTTTTCTGTAAATACAGGATGTCTCAAAAAGTGTATACACACTTTAACAGCTGATAGCTCAATTTTGAAAGTGAAATGTATTTTAATAAGCACTGCCTTCATAATTATTCAAAGTGTGTGTATACATTTTTGAGGGACACTCTATATTTAATGAGTACCTCCCCTGCACAAAGCATTTAAGTATAAATTTGACATACTGCAGTAAGACACACTTCAAATAATGATTGAAATGCTAAAATATTAAGTTGAACTATAAATCAGGTATTTTTATTTTAATATTTAGTATCACTGTTATTAGATATTATATTTTAAATAAGAAACAACTAGTGACACAGAAATTAATGTTTCAGAAAATATCATTTACTCTCTTAAATTACTAATGTTAAGGAGACTCATAACTACTTATTTATTCAAGAAATAGTGGAGCATTTGACAAACACCAAAAAGAAGAGTTTGATTAAAAGATAAGGAAGACAAATTTCATTAGAGCTAAACTTCTGTTCAAATCTTAGCTTAAAGTTACTTTTAAAGCCAATATTTCCTCTCAAAATATTTTGAAGTTCTACTTAGTAAATACATGAAACCAACTGTCCCAATTCACTGTCTCTTGCAGCTTAAAACAATCATTATTTGGTCTATAGTGTTGCTACATTATAGAATAACTAACAAAGAGAACTGTAAGATATATTAATACTGACACTTGAAATAAAATAGGTCTGAATTTAGGCAGTGTACAAACACACAGCAATAACTTCGGTCTCAGTGATCCCAAACAGTCTTACAAGATACAAAATGCAGAAGAAAACAGGCAGACTAAATACTCACTGCTCTCCTTCATGGTCGAGGTTATGAAGCGTTCGCCTTTTAGAGAAGACGTTAGAAACACTGGTGAGTACAATAATGGCCAGGCATGCACTGGTAAGACTGAAGCCTGTCAGGGATAGACTCCTGTGTCCTTCTTCCTCCCAAATGAAAACAAACAAACTAACAAAAAACTGATGCACCTGCAAAACTATTGCTGGAACCTCGTGGGTATCCACTCTTAGAGGTTGCACTAGACAATGAAACAGAGACATTCAGGGGTAGTATCGACTCAAGAACCGACAGCAGTTCCAGATAAAAATATTCTAGCTGAGAAGGAAGTGTCACTATTCAGAGTCAGACCCAACAAAAGGCAAAAAATAGGAAGGGCAAAAAAAATACCTGATAAAGCAGTGGAGGTGATGCTGCCGAAGGATCATTTGTTTAGTTTTTGAAAACAATAAATTCGAACCTACCCAGGGTGCCTCTAAACTCTTCCGCTTTTCTGGGTCTCCCTCCGTATCCAGATGCAGAGGAAGTGTTGCAGTTACCAGGAAGGAAGTTTTAACCAAGTTGATTATACGTGTGATTGCTCATTTTAAAAGTGTCAGAAATGCATTTCCTGTTAATAGCACAGTGGGTGAAGCACGAGAGTGAGCAGTGTTTACCATATTTTATACTCTTTGAACTAATTTTTTAATAATTATGAGAGGCTGAAACAAATTAAAATTACCTAGATCCAAACGAAAAATACACATTCATGAGACATAAACACATGAAATATTTTCTAGCTGGATCTAAGTAGAACAGATTTAATAGTCACAACATTAGAGAGAAACAGCCTGGTAGGAAGATTTTAAGAGCCAAATTAAATCCTTTAGTCCTGCAAAGCCCATTCAGTTAATTTTCCCTCATGGGAATTCAAATGATCCCTTGTTCATACACTGTGACTGAGGGGTGGGAGAAGAGAAACTAGTGATCTCAGGGACTGAGTTATCAAGCTGAACATTTTCAAAAATGAGGTCTGGAGCTCACTTCCTTAGTTTGGTGAGATAGTTCTCTATTTTTTTCAGAGCATGTAGGCTCCCAAATATCACTGGTTGAAATGGAAAGTACAGTGTGTGTGTGTGTGTGGCGGGGGGGTGGGGTGTGGACACTTACTGTGGGTAATTATTGCAGACAAAACAGGAGGTTTTTGGTTTCATGGGAAAATGAGGGAGCTGAGCACTGCCACACAATCAGATAGGTAGTCACTGGAACATGGCTCCTGATTGTCATGAGAGTAAAGAACCCATGGAAAAGCCATCCGAAATAAATTTTCCCAAGCACACTCAGATCCTGAACCAGTGTTCTCTTTTCTCCATCCAAGGGTTCCGATACCAGAGTTCATCCTCAAACCTGGGTTATCATGGACTCCAGTGGAGCCCCAAGGACAACAGGTAGGATGGCATTGGCCTCACAGGGATATAATGAAAAGTTCTCTGAATCACTCTGACATCAAGATAAATGATTGATATGAGCGATCTCCTTTCACCTAGGCCCCTCCGGTTTCAGCTTTCCACAAATTAACTGTAATAGTTGGCATCAGCAGTCCAACTATTACATTCAAAGGCTGTGTCCCCAATATTTAGAGGGAGCTTATTAGCACCCCAAAATATATTCCTATATAGAAATACTCCCTTAGGAGGCTGGCAGCTTGAGAAGCCTCAAAGCAGGCCCTTTTGTTTGGTTCTGAAGGAGAGACCAAAGAGTCACTCTGCAGGAGCTTGCCAGGATGTGCTTCAGACAGAGTATGTGGGAGAGTTCACTGGGGTAGGTGGGCTGGATGGAAGTTTGTGGCGAGTAGAGCTGACCACAGAGGGACCATGAGCTTGGCCAGCTCTGTTCTCCAGACAAGTCAATAGATTCTGTTCCTCAACAGATTCTTTCCCCAGCTCAGTAACACCCAGGAGCCAAGTCCCAACCTGACACCACACACACACACAGACACACACATGTTATTTCAGAAATGCTAGATTCGGGCTCTTGGGTCTCCTTGCCTCTGTAGGAACTACTCAGCTGAGTTGAATTATGCAAAGTTGTCTGTTCTATGACTTACAAATACTTCAGGCTTTATTGGTGATTAGAGAATAAAAGTACCCTGCTCTTCCCCAAATCCTAATATAGTCACGAAAATTTGACTACATGCAGTAAATGTTCCAAGAGATAAACAATGGCCAGTGTCTCCTTCCTCTATGTGGATACCTCCTCCATGGAGAGGAATACTTTACTATTAGTGCCCCTTTTGTCTCCAAGTTTTTAGGCTAGAAGACCCCTAGAACTCATCATTATCCTGTTTTATCAATGTGTTTCTCTCTTTTCTTCTTTTTTTCTCTTCTGTGAATCTCCATGCATCTAGCACCATGTTTTTACATCAAGTAGTCATACACTACACTGTATTTAGAAAAAACACAATCAAATAGTCTGACCTTCTATATCACATGCAACTATCACAGGAACAAGAAGATAGAACAGATCTACACTAATAAAAGAGAAACATGCAAATTGTGTCACTCCACTACGCCCACCAGCCAATCAGATGAGTATGCAAATTAACCCAACAAAGATGGCGGTTAATTTGCATACACAGGCGCAGAGTGAAGAAGACAACTAGGACAGGAGGGAAGCAAGCGGGGTGGTGGAGGCGGGAGCTTCACTCCAGCCACAGGAAGCCCTATTCTTGCAGGAATCTTCCTGCAACGGGCCTCTAATTAGAAAATAAGAACACAGTAAGATGTCAATGGTCAATAAACATTAAGAATGAATTGTTTGCTATGAGAAAGGATCTTTGTTATGGCCTTCAGAGAGATTGTTTGTGGTCTAGCTGGAGAGAGAAGACACACAGATGAAAAAAATAAGATGTCAATGTGATAGGCCAAGTGGTTTAAGTATATAATATTTGTTACATACTACAGTGGTTTACTGAAGTAGGTCACTTTGGGTGTAATAAAATTTTTGAAATTATGCTGGAGGAGACCCAGGATTTAAGGCAATAGGGAAAGTCTTTAAGTCAAAAATGTGAACAAACAAAACAGTTCAAGAAATAGTGAATGGATCCATTTGCAGAAATGGAGGGTTTGTAAGAGACAGCAGTAGAAGATACGGGAAAGACATGGAAAGATAGGCATGTGCTTCCCAAACTTATTTCAAGTCTCAGCACATGTAAATAGTACCAACATTGGTATGGCACACTGGGTGCAAGGAACTGCCCCCCTGCCATTCATATATTAAAATTCTAACCCCCAGTGTAGTGGTATAGTAAGTAGGGCCTTTGGGAAATAATTAGGTCATGAGGGTGGAGCCCTCATGAATGAGATTTATGTCTTCATAAAAGGGACCTCAGGGAACTCCCTGGCCCTCTTCCTGTCATGTAGGGGTACAGATATAGCCGTCTGCAATCCAGAAGAGGGCCCTCACTAGAACCTGACCTTGCCTGTACCCTGATCTCAGACTTCCAGTCTTCAGAACTATGAGAAATAAATTCCTGTTGTTTATATGTCATTCAGTCTGTGGCACTTCGTTACAGCAGCCGAACTCGCTATGATACTGAAGTAAAGTGAAGAGTCTCCTCAAAGCTCGAGATAATGTCTGCATCCCCAAGGGCCCTGAACCCCTTTGGGGCACACTGTTTGGGAAGCTGTGCTATTGGTTATTGCTCCTAGGGAGGGTAGCAATCTGACTCAGACATGTGTGTATCTCAGCTTGAAAAGCACTAGAATCCATCTTTTCATGTATTTTTTTAGTTCAGTCTCAGACAGCTTATACCAGCCGTGGGCAAACTACGGCCCGCGGGCCGGATCCGGCCCGTTTGAAATGAATAAAACTAAAAAAAAAAAGACCGTACCCTTTTATGTAATGATGTTTACTTTGAATTTATATTAGTTCACACAAACACTCCATCCATGCTTTTGTTCCGGCCCTCCGGTCCAGTTTAAGAACCCATTGTGGCCCTCGAGTCAAAAAGTTTGCCCACCCCTGGCTTATACAATGTGAGCAAAAATACTAAAAGGCATTTTAATTTACTCCCACGATTTAGTTGACCTTCGTGCCTTGCTTTGTTGTCTGGACATGAATGCCAATCTGTAGGAAGCTTTATGGTCTGTATCTGGTCTGATGAAAGAGAAGCATCCTGGTACTGTAGACTGTCTAGCAATCATAGACCTGGGTTTACTTCTCATTCTCTGAGCCTAATATATATGCTAATTCATCTCTTTCAGCTTCCTAATCTACCAAAGGGATAACAACTACCCTACTTATCTCACAGGAAGTTGTCATAAATCTTCAATTTTTAATGAAAAGTAAACTAGTCTAACTATACTCTATGCAATTTGTGTTGGATATGCTAGAGGACATGCAATCCCGGGTGTCACATACCAACACAACATTCAGAGGAGAAGAGGCATGTCAGCCTGTATGTTTCTTTTTCGGAGAAAGGAAAACTTTTGCAGAAGCCTTCTGGGTCCTCTCATATCTTTGCCCAGAAGTGGGACAATGCCCATCTATCTCTCAGCCAGTTACTGGGGAGGGGAAAGAATTACATGAGTGGTTTGAGCTCATCGGGATCTTCCCTGTTGAGTTCCTGGATGGCAGAGAAGGATGGACACCAGAACAAAACTTCGTTGATACAGCAGAGTAAACACTTCACAACTTTCTGGAAAATTTTTTTCCTATAAATTGATTTATAAATATCCAAATTCCTTAGCATGACACAACAGACCCTTTATGATCTATTCCATATGGTCTATCCTTAACTCTTAGCCTCACCTTCCAAATAGCTTCCATGTTTGAATTAAACTGATTTCTGCTCTCACACTTGCTGTGCTCTCCACACCTCTGTGTCACCACGTGCTGCTTCCCCTGCTCCATCTCTTCCCCTTACTCTTTTCTCTCCTCTTGCTCCCCCATTCCCTCCTCTCTCAGCCATTTGAGCAACTCCTCTTCTCCTCACTTTGCATAACCTCCTCTGGGAGGGCTTTCTGGTTTAGGGAAGCACAGGGTTAGGGAAGCTTTCCTGCATTAGTCACCACCACCACCAAGAGCAAACTCTTCCATAGCACTAGCTGTGTGCCTTACAATGTTCTGAGCACTTTAATACACTAATTTACTTAATCCTTGCAACATCCCAAGGAGACGGGCACTATTATTATGCCCATTTACAGATGATGAAAGTAAGGCACAAAGAAGTCAAGTGCTTGTCCCAGGTCCCACTGCTGGTAAGTGGCCATTGTCATAGCACTTCTCCCAGAGGAGACTAGCTGTTTACGAGGCTTCCTCCTCCTCCAGCCTGTGAGCCCTTGGGGACAGTGACTGCTCTATTCATCACCGAATTCCCCAAGGCTTAACATGGTGTTTGCCACATACAAAGCGAGGGCCTCAATAACCATTTGTGAAAAGGATAGTTTGTATAGAATATCTCTTTTTTTGAAAATCAGTGGATCCCCTTGCATTTACAGGAAGCAGCAGGAATATTGGTGGCTACTCC